TCTTTCTGAAGATTGCTTTGGCTGTTTTAGGGTCATCTCTGGTTCCATAAATATTTTAGGTTTGTTCTAATTTCTCTGAAAAATGCCATTGGAATTTTGACAGGGATTGCAGTGAATCTGCAATATATTTGGTAAATATATTTGGTAAATTGGTAATATTTTAACAATATTAATTCTTCCTATCCATAAGCACAGAATATCTTTCTATTTACTTGTCTTATTTAGTTTCTTTCATCAGTGTGTTAAAATTTTCAGTGTATAGTTCTTTAACCTCCTTGGGTAATTTATTCCGGGGTTTTTTCTTTTTCTTTTTATTAACATAGGTATTTTTCTTGATGCAGTTATAAATGGGGTCATTTTCTTAATTTCTTTTTCTGGTAATTCATTATTAGTGTACAGAAACACAACAGATTTTTGTATATTGATTTTTGTGTCCTGCCACTTTATTGATTCATTTTTTAGTTCTAACAGATTTTTTGGTGGAGTCTTTAGTGTTTTCTATGTATAATAAGATGTCATCTACAAATAGTGACAGTTTTCCATCTTCCTTTTTGATTTGGATGCCTTTTATTTCTTTTTCTTGTCTAATTGCTTTGGCTAGGACTTCCAGTACTCTTGAATTAAAGTGGCAAGAGTGGGCATCTTTGTCTTGTTTCTGATCTTAGCAAAGCTTTCAACTTTCCACTGTTGATTATGATGTTAGTTGTGGGCTTGTCATATGTGGTTTTTATTGTGTTGAGATACCTTCTCTCTGTACCTGTTTTGTTGAGAGTTTTTTTTATCATAAATGGATGTTGAACTTTGTTAATTGTTTTTTCTGCATCTGTTGAGATGATCGTATGATTTTATCCTTATTTTATTAATGTGATGTGTCACATTGATTGATTTGTAGATGTTGAGCCATCCTTATCACTGGAATAAGTCCCATTTGGCCATTTTGTATGATCCTTTTAATGTATTGTTGAATTCATTTTGGTAACATTTTTTTGAGGATTTTTGCATCTGTATTCTTCAGGTATATTAAGCTGTAATTTTCTTGTCTTGTGCCCTTGTGTGGCTTTGGTTTCAGGGTAAATATGGCCTCCTTAGATGAATTTCTCTTCTGTTTTTTTGGAAGAGTTTGAGAAAGATTGGTATTCTTTTTTGAATGTTCAGTGGGATTCTTAGTGAAGCTATTTGATTCTGGACTTTTCTTTGTTAGGAGGTTTTTGATTACTGATTCAGTCTCCTTGTTAGTATTCAGTCTGTTTAGATTTTCTATTTTTTCATGATTCAATCTTGATAGGTTGTGTGTTTCTAGGAATTTATCCATTTCTTCTAGGTTGTCCAGTTTGTTTGCATATAATTGTTCATAGTAGTCTAGTTGGTTATTTTTATAGTGCTTCTCAGTTGAACTATCCTATTATTCTTTCACTGTGAATGTATTTTTCTTTATGCTCATAAGCATACTTATAGATACCTGGTTTAAAATCCTTTACCACTAATTCCAGCATTTGAATCAGTTCAGGGTCAGTCTCTGATTGCATTTCCTCTTGAACCTCTTTTATTTTTTCTTGGGACCTTTCTGTTTCTATGTTGATTATTTTCAACTGTATCTTGTGTGTTTTGAATCATACTGTAGACCTTTTGAATTCTGTTTAGTTCCGCTGAAGATTGCTGATTTTTTTTTTGTTTCATTTGGTTTAGTAAGCACTTAATTTGGCTGGACTCCAGTTGGCAATGGTCTCCTCTGTGGTGTATGGTAACTCAAATTTTAGTTAAATTTATTTACTCGACCAGAAATTAAGAAGAGTTAACACACAGATCTCAGGCACCCTTTTCTGTCTGAATTCTCCCTTGTCTTTCTGGTGGTCATGATGACTGCAAAACTCTCCTTTGATTCTTCAAGTTCAGTAAGACTGAAGTTTTTCCAGTGGAATTATAGTTACCCTGCATGGCATTGACTAGGCCTGTTGACAAGCTAAAGGCTGTAAACTTGGTAAACCCAACCAGTGCCATCCCTTCTTCTAATTGTCATTTCTCTTCCAGTAAATACCTGATTTTTGTTACTTTTCAGTACCTCCAGATTGTTTTTTTTTTAATATTTTGCTCAGAGTATAGTTGTTACCTATGTGAAAGTTGGTCTGATAAAATTTAATTCAGTTGTCCTGGAACTTAATTATTGTTAATTTTTGTATGTGGTGTAAGGAGTGGGTCAAGGTTTGTTTTTTTTTCTCTAAAACTTTTATCCATTGTTCCAGCACAATTTTTTGAAAAGACTTTCCTTTTCCCCATTGAAGTACTTTGGTACCTTTGTGAAAAAACAGTTGTCCATAGGTTTGTCCTGTTTCTGGAATCTCTGTTCTGCTCCATTGATAAATCTGTCTGTACTTACATCAGTACCACACTGTGTAAAGTATCATAGCTTTATAATAAGACTTATCATTACGTAGTCCTTGCTTTGGCTATTCTAGGTCCTTTGCATAGCCACATAAACTTTAACATTTCCATGCCAATTTTTACTAGAAAGTTGACAAGTAATTGGTTGAACAAGTAGAAGACAAATGACTATGGTGGTAGAAAATTTCAACAACACTCAGCCAACTTGATTAATATATTATAGAATACTACAGCCATCAACAGCTGAATACACATTCTTTTCCAGGGACACATGAACCATTCTCCTAGATAGACCATAAGTTGAAATCATACAGAGTATATTTTCTCACCATTACAGAATTAAATTAGAAATGAGCAATAAAAAGGCATGAAGAGAGGGCGCCTGGGTGGCTCAGTTGGTTAAGCAACTGCCTTTGGCTCAGGTCATGATCCTGGTGTCCCCGGATCAAGTCCCACATAGGCTCCCTGCTCAGCAGGGCGTCTGCTTCTCCCTCTGACCCTCCCCCCTCATTCTCTCTCTCTCTCTCTCTCTCTCTCTCTCTCTTATTCTCACTCTAATAAATAAATAAAATCTTTTTTAAAAAGGCATGAAGAGAAAATGGCCTTATTTGTGAAGAATTAATTAAAACAACAGTAGAGGGAGCTATGTAAAGTTAAAAAAAAAAAGTGTGCATGCTTCCTTCTACAAGTTATAGAACACAGGCAGATGGAGCCTTAGCTGCTGCCTCGGTCCTCAGCACCACTACCACCACTGTCCACCACCAGCCAGCATGTCCTCTGCTCACTTCAACCGGGGCCCTCCTGTGGCTTGTCTGTTGAGGTCAAGAACAAGCTGGCCCAAAAGTACGACCACAAGCAGGAGCAGGAACTTTGAGAATGGATCAAGGGGTTGACAGGGCACCACATCAGCAACAGTTTCACAGACAGCCTCAAAGATAGCATCATTCTTTGGAAGTTCATCAGTAAGTTCCAGCCAGGCTCCGTGAAGAAGTTCGATGAGTCGACCCAAAATTGGCACCAGCTAGAAAACATTGGCAACTGCATCAAGGCCATCACCGAGTATGGGTGAAGTCCCATGACATTTTTGAGGCAATGACTTGTTTGAGAAAACCAACCACCCCCAGGTGCAGTCCACCCTCCCAGCCATGGCCAAGACAAAAAGGAATAAGGTGAATTTAGGGGTGAAGCATGCAGAGAAGCAGGAACAGAAATTTGAGCCAGAGAAGCTAAGAGAACATCATCAGGCTACAGATGGGCACCAACAGATTTGCTAGCCAGCAGGGTATGACAGCCTATGGCACCTGGCACCACCTCTATGACCCCAAGCTGAGCAAGGACCCGCCCCTAGACCAGGCCACCAACAAGGGAGACAGCCAAGCCAGGCTAACTGCACCAGGGACCAAGCAACAGATCCTCAAGCCTGGGCTGGGCATGGAGCACTGTGACATGTTCAACGTCAGCCTGCAGATGGACGGCAACAAGGGGGCCTCGCGGCAGGGCATGACCGTGTATGGGCCGCTGTGCCAGGTCTGTGACCCCCAAAACTGCCTGACACTTGAACACTCAGAGCTGGGCCAGCCTGCCCACAACCACCACCCACACAACTGCTACAACTCAGCCTGGGGCCCTGGGGCCCTCACCCTGCCTTCCCTCCAGGGAGGCTGGCTGGTGCTCTTGGCAGGGTTGTGCTGGCCCCATCAACCCCCTCACCCTGCATGGTGTCCTCTAGCCCCCTTGGACCTGCTTACAGGGTTAGCATTGGGGGGGCAGTCTGAGGTGCCTGTGGTGGGGGAAGGGACCCTCCTCCTCAGTGCTGCAGGATCCAGCATTGAGCTGGGTGTTCCCAACAGCATCCAAAGGACACGCTGAGCAAAGCTATCCCTAGCTGTTTCCTGACTCCCTTACAGGTGGGTGCCCCCCAGGACAAAAATTTCTCTCCCCCAAGCAAAACCCCCGGAGCCCAGGCTTGGCCTGCCCCCTCCCCATTCCTACAGTGGAAGCAAACTGCATGCCCAGAGACCCGGTGGACACACGTGGTTCGGTTTGCAGCGACTGGCATATGTGGACTTGACCGTGGTGTTTGTAATGCAAGCACTTTCTTTTTCTCTTTCACTGGAGCACAATAAATGACTGTAAAGTAAAACAAAATTTTAAAAAAAATTATAGAACACAAACTTCCCATTAAAACAAACAACAAAATGGGATCAAGGACAAATCCTGTACAAAATTGTTATTTTTAAAAATGAAAGACTGGGGGTGCCTGGGTGGCTCGGTCAGTGAAGCCTCTGCCTTCAGTTCAGGTCATGACCCCAGGGTCCTGGGATCAAGCCCTGCTGCACGGGGGAGCCTGCTTCTCCCTCCACCTCTGCCTCTCTCTCTCTCATGAATAAATAAATCAGATCTTTAAACAAACTGACTAAATGTTGAATACAATGAATTGCAAAAATTTATGATTAGATATTTGTATGCTACACAACACTACATATAACTAGGTATTTAATAGTCATACTGTATAGCATATTCTGGTGAAAAACAAATCCTTAAAAAATAATTCCTTAATGATCCTCATCCTGTTGCCCACTGCTGACCCTGTCGCCCTGAACGGGACTGTGTTGTTACAGGTCTCTGTGTCATTCGAGGACGTGACTGTGGACTTCAGCAAGGAAGAGTGGCAGCAACTGGACCCTGCTCAGAGACGCTTGTACCGGGATGTGACGCTGGAGAATTACAGCCACCTGCGCTCAGTGGGTAAGCAGAGCCCTTCGGAGAAACTACAAGGAGCGTGTTATGCGTAAAATTGTATTCCTCCAAGGAAACTGTTGAAAGCCTAACCTGTTAGGACTAAGCACCTTGGGATATGATCTTTTTTTGGAATTTGGGGTCTTTACAGAAGTAGCCAAGCTCAAACTGGGTCTTTTCGGTGGGTCCTAATCCAGTATGACTGGTATGCTTAAAATAAGGGAAATCTAGACATAGAGACAGACACACGCAGAGGAAAGACAGTGTGAAGGAAAAGAAGATGGCCAGGTCACTGAAGTGATGAATCTGTAAGCCGAGACATGCCCGAGGCCACCAAGAGGTCAGAGAGAGAAGCATGGAAGAGTTCCTTCCTGTTTTGAAGGTTCTCCTTCAAAAAGAGCATTGGCCCTACTGAAACCTTGATTTTGGACTTCTGGTCTCCAGAACTGTGATACAGTGCATGTCTGTTGTTTTGAGCTGTCCAGCTTGTGGCACTTTGTTAAAGCAGCCCTAGGAAACTAAGATTTTTGTCCTTGGCAAGGGGGATGCTGCCGTAGCAAATACTGAAAAAGACACAGAAGTGGTTTTGGAATCAGACAGTGGGTAGAGGCTGGAAAGGTGCTTGACAGAGAAAGCCTAGATTGCCTTGAAGAGATTCACTGGTAGAAATAGGGATGCTAACGGGGCTTTGGTCTCAGATAGAGTGAGGAGCGTGTTACTGGAAACTGGAAGAAAGGAGATCCTTGTTACAAAGTGGCAGAGAACCTGACTGAATTGTGTTCTGTTGGGTGAAAAGCAGAAAGTGTAAGTGATAAACTTGGGTAGTTAGCTGTGGAAGTTTCTAAACAAAAGTGTTAAAGGCATAGCCTGTGTTTTCCTTGCTGCTTACCATAAAATGTAGGAGAAAAGAAAGATATTAGAAAGGAATCATTAGTAAGAGAAGAAGCAGAGCTTGAAGATTTGGAAAATACTCAGCCTGTCCGTATGCGAAAAATGGGATGAGACTCTGGAAAGAACCAAAGATGTGGACAACCAGTTGTGAAAGAGATCAGTTGTATGACTTGTGGATTTCTTCAACTACATCAGTCAGCTTCAACTGAAGAGGACAGAGACAGGAAACAATGAGGGAAGGCTGTGGGGTAGCTGGGGTTCTGCTGGTAGGAGAGAGGCTGATAAAACTGTTCAACTGTGCCCATGTGTTAGCCTTCTGGAAGAGGAATGAATGACTCCAAGGATGGTTGTGAGGCCAGGATGGCTGCTACTGGCACCACAGGACCAGAGAGCCCAGGCTGGGAAAATGGAATGTGAAAGACCCTCACCTCCTCAGTTCCACAAGGCAAGCCACCTACTTGGTTCCAGGCCTGAAGGGGCAGAGCTGCTTCAAGGTCAAGGTCAAGGGTGTGGAGTTGCCACATCCCACCTGAAGTCTCACCTGCTAACAGCATCATGCTCTCTTTAGCGTTCCTTCCCTTCCAGTACTTGTTGACAGTTGAGTTTGTGCCATTATTTAGCCTTAGAAGAAGCTTGTCACCCACCTCAGCCTGCATGCCAGAGCAGCACAACTCCGGAAAGACTCAGGCTCAGTGCTCCAGGAGCTGCTACTGACCTCACACCATCCACCAGCTGGGGCCTGATCAGAAGGACTTGGGCACCCTCTGAGTGGGTCTCTACCGCTTGCCGTAGTTCTCATGTCCCACCACGGTGTGAGGATTCAGCACCAGGCTCTTCTGTGTTTGCTGACCATTACCGAAGGAGTCCTTGCTGAGTTTCCTTTCTTCCACTGACTAATAGGCTTAAATTCAGCGAGCAAGTAAACTGAGACCCAGTAGCGAGCCAAAAGCTCTTTGTCAATAGGAAAGCAGTTATCCTCAGAGGATGATAGGGCTTTGCTCCAAAATCCCAAGGTTGGCTCTGTGGTTCACCTCTAGGGGCCTACCGAAGGCTCCATCCCCAACTGCCACTGACATTTCAAGCACCACTGGATCCACCAGATCCTATGGCCCCAGTGAGAGCAGCTTGTATGGCGCTCTGGACCTGTTGCATAGCCTTCTTTTGTTCCAGGCGCTGCTCAAAACTAGCAGTTTTTTGGATCACATGGTAAGTGGAGCAGAGTAACACACGCAGATAGTGGAATATATTGCCTCTGAAGTCCACAGAGGCCCAGTAGCCATTGTCCCTCTTTTTACTTGTAGGAAGAGCCAGAGGCAAAAACTTACTCTTTACTTGGAAATTTCTAAGGGTAGGGGGATGCCTGGGTGGCTCAGTAGGTTAGACGGCTGCCTTCAGCTCAGATCATGATCCTGGGGTCCTGGGATCGAGCCCCACGTTGGGCTCCTTGCTCAGCAGGGAGCCTGCTTCTCCCTCTGCCTGCTGCTCCCCCCAGCTTGTCCTCCTTCCCTCCCCCCCTCCCTCCCTCTCTCTCTCTCTCTCTCTCTCTCTCTGACAAAATCTTAAAAAAAAAAAATTTCTAGGGGTCCCCTGGGTCCATACTGCTCTACCCATAGAAATTTCCCTGAGGTGGAAGGCCCCTAAATTGTGGTCAGATTTATTTCCCTCCCTCTGCCATACAAATTATCTTACCAGTAAGTTAAGAGTGGTTCTTACTTCTCATTCATCAGGTGCAGTCAGCATAATGTCATCAGTGTAATGGACCAATGTGGTATCTTGTGGGAGGGAAAGTCAATCAGAATCCCTACAGACTAAATTATGACATTAGGACTGGAGGGCTGATATATCTCTGAGGTAGGACAGTGAAGATATATATATAGATATCTATATCTATCTATCTATCTATGTATCTATCTATATCTGTATGTGTGTGTGTGTGTGTGTGTGTATGTGTATATATATATATATATATATATATATATATATATATATATATATAGTTGGCCTTGCCAACTGAAAGCAAACTGCTTCTAGTAACCTTTAATAACAGGTATTGCCAAAAAAACATGCAACAACGAAAATAAAACAAACAAAAAACCCCCACACATTTGCCAGATCAATAACTATTCACCGGACACCAAGGGATGTGTTAATTGGTTTCAGCAATGAACCCACATCTGGTACAGCAGCTGCTATTGGAGTTAGCACCTGGTTAAGCTCCTGATGGTCCACAGTCATTCTCTAAGATCTGTTTGTCCTCTGCACAGGCCAGAGAGGCGAGTTGAATGGGCACGTGGTGGGACTCATTCCCCCTGCATCCTTTAGGTTCTTGATGGTAGCATTGATCTCTGCAGTTCCTACAGGAATGCAGTGTTTCTTTGGGTTTACTCCTTTTCTAGTAGAGGCAGTTCTAGTGGCTTTCACTTGGCCCTTCTCACCATAATAGTCCTCACTGCACAGGTCAGGGAACCAGTATGGGTATTCTGCTGGTTGCTGAGTATCTGTATTCTAATTTTGCATTCTGAACCTGGGAAATAACCACGGGATGGACTGGGGTGCCTGCTGGGCCTCCCGTGAGATGGAGCTGAGCTGAAACTCCATTGATGACTTCACTCTCGTAAGCCCCTATGCCGTCTGGTGGGCCACGGTGACATCCTGGGTCTCCTGGAATTTGTGTCAGTTCAGAACTGGTCTCCAGTAATCTCGGAAAAGCCTCATTATGTCCTTTCCCTCCCTGCACAGTCACCCTGACAAAGGGCTGCAAATCTGTTTAGGGAAGAGAGAGATTAGCAGTATACATTTTGACAGTGTAGCAGGGTCCTTCCTCAAGGGACCCGGGCTCCCCTTCATTCAAAGCGCTCTGGGTCTGTAAACTGGCTCAAGCCTGAAAATTGACTGAGGAGCTGAGATTCTTTTTACATTTCACATTAGACTTCGTTCACTTGCCCTAGAACTCTCCTAATGCAGATCAAGTAAGAATGCAGTAGCTCGTCTGTTTCGTTTCTAGGGACAGCATAAGCAACTGGCCAACACCATGGGTCTCTGCAGGTCAGACCGTTCTGATTACTGCTTTAACCCTGCTGTGCACTGTAATAACCATGTCCATCTTGCATTTAGCAATTCAGTGCTCCCATTTGGCCCCTGTCACCCCAGAATCCAGTTAGTCTCATTGCATTGGGGTTTCCCAATTTGTGTCCTGCAGAGAAAAGCAATCACAGAGTTCTTCAAGAATACTGGGCACCCCCCCCACCTCACAAATTTGCGTGTCCCAGGCATGTCCTCTGGACCCTCCCAGTGTGTGAGAGCATGCCTTACACGCTAAATGGAGTCTAATGTGCCAAGCTCCCAAGCCCTTGGATGCCTTTCTCTGTAGTATAGAGAGTTCTTCCAAAACACTTCTCCATTTCAGTTGCAGTTTGTACGAACCACATTTTGATCCATGTTTCAGCCAACCAAACAAAATGTTCAAGCTCTCTCTAACCCCTCAAGCAGCAACATTAAATTCACAGTCTGCTTAGTGTGCACATACCAACACATTTGGCCTGATCGATCCAACTTTATGTCCTTTCCATTATCCCACACTCTTAAATATCCATTTGCACCTGGGTTTCCCAGTTTTCTGTCTGTATAAATTGGACCAATAATGCAGTTCTTTTATGCCCCGTGGATTATGCTATACCTCCCCTCTTGGGCCCTGACGAGACTTGAGTCTAGTTCTAGGTCTAAAAGCAAATCAGGGTGGTAGGGCTAGGTCGTGAGAGAAATCAGCAGTACCTTTCAAGGCAAGTACCTCAAGGGAGGTCGTTGTAGGGTCCTCAGGCAAAGTAGGGTTAATCTTCTCAGATGAGGGCAGAAGGGCTGCTTCTACTCAAAAGAATACTCATCAGAGCTTAGAAGTTCAGTGTCCTCATCTATGTCCATTCTAAATTTCTGGATCCCATTTCTTTTCAGTCAGTTCCCTTACCTTAGTAGCCCACACCCTATAAGGTTGGGAATTCAATTTGTGTTGTAATGTGGCCACTGCCAGGATGAGACTCTGGGTTTCGTTTTCAGCAGCATCAGTTCTGTAGCTACAGAAGTTAGGGGTGTCTTTCAGGACAGACGTAGAAATTTTCAGGTCATCTATGCAGTGCTTGAGCTGGGAACTCAAATCCCTGAGTTCATCCTTTTCCCCCCTCTACTTTGTCCAGCACAATTAGGAGCAATCTGGCAATCTTATTATACTTGTGAGTTTGACAAAAATTTCTAAGGTGTCAAATACAAGGTCACCCAGAACCATACCTCTCACAAGCATTTGATAAGGAGCATCTAGGTATCCACTGGGGATATTTTGCATATCTCTTTTGCCACATCATCCCATGGACTGTCAGTGTGCTCTGTAGTACTGGAAAGAGAGTCATTAGTGCCTTCAAATGTGATCAGAGTAGGGAACCAATTCTAGAAAACCCATAACCCATTCAGAAAATTCATTCTTAGGATTCTCTTCCTCTAGCACCACTCTCAAAATCTGCATTATGGTTCTCCAGAGAAATGGAACCAATATGATATGGGTATATACATATACAGAGTACACACACACACACTATAAATACATACAGACTTACCTAGAGAAAGATAGACAGAATGAATACAGTCACAGATTCCAGAGAAGAGATTTGTTTTAAGGAACTGGCTTGCCTGATTACAGGAACCGACAAGTCTGAAATTTAAAGGCCAGGCCTACAAGCTGAAAATTCGAGTGAGGTGATGCTGTAACCTTAAACTCAAAATCTGCAGGACGGGCCAGTAGACCGCAAACCAAGACAAGGTATCTGTGTTGCGGTCTTAAGGTAGAATTCCTTCTTGCACTAATGATTCCTTGTTCTCTTTGCCCGCAGCCAACACAACAGATTGTGGTTCTTTACCTGGTGGTGTGACCCAAAACTTCATTCTTTTTTTTTTTTAAGATTTGATTTATGTATTTGAAAGAGGGAGCGAGCATGTGTGTGCACGCGCATGTGTGTGCAAGAGGGTGGGCAGAGCAGAGGGAGAGGGAGAAGCAGGTTCCCCACTGACCGGGGAGCCTGACCCAGGACACTGGGATCTCGACCTGACCCAAAGGCAGGTGCTTAAATGACTGAGCCACCCAGCCCTCCCCCCCCAAAAGAAAACTTCATTCTTAAAGGATCTGGGCCATTAGTAGTCCTGCCTGAATTGGATTGTTGTAGTTCCTATTGACTTTCATCACAGGGCACACAGTAGTACCAAGAAATGCCCTAAGGTATTGTGTGTATTCCAGGCACTCTCTTCCTTATTTCCACTGTGGGGTAGCAGTCCAATTTCCCCTGAGTAGTCAGGATCAGTCACTCCAGCCAGCACAGTAACTCCTTTCTTTGCCTTTTGATTCAGAGACTTGAGGAGCCCAAAGTGTCCACGTGACAGACTTAACTTCCAGTTCAGTGGAATCACTACTGTGTCTCCTGGCAGACGCATTCCTCCCTTTGGAACTAAGACAGAGAACAGCGGAGTGGAAGGGGCACAGGAACAGGCAGGAAATATTTTGCTAGTGGACCAGTAGAGGTAGTAGTGAATGGTGCCACTCCTGGCCCTGGGCCCACAGGGTGGGCCCATCCCCCCTTGGTAGGCTTGGAGGACAGAAAAGGGAGCCAATAAGAATTACCCTCAAGCCTTAAAATCTCATGGGCTTTGTCTTGCTAGGTTTTGGACTTTCTTGGGATCTGTGATCCCTTTTTTCATTCCAGTCCCTCCCTTTTGAAATGGGAATGCCTGTCCTACCGTTACATTTTGGAAGCAGATGACTTGTCTGATTTCACAGGTTTGTGTGGAGAGAAGCTGCCCTGAGATGACTCATACTCATATCACACCCATAACTGACTTAGGTGATCTGGATGATAAGATTTGACACTTGGAGTTGATGTTTAGATAGATTTTGAATTTAAGACTTGATGCTGGAATGATCAAGACTTTTGGGGATATTGGCATGGAGTTAGTATATTTTGCACCTGGGAAGGACATGAATTTGGTGGGGGGGGTTGTCCAAGGGCAGATTTTTAATGGGTTGAATCATGTGTCCCCCTGAAAAAAAAAGTGGAAATCTGAACCTCCAGTACTCCAGAATATGACCTTATTTGAACATAGTGTCATTATAGAGGTAATCAAGTTAAAAGGAGTTCATGGGAGTGGGCCCTAATTTAATATGATTGGTGTGCTTATAAAAAAAGGGAAATCTGGTCAAAGAAATAGACACATAGGGGTGCCTGGGTGGCTCAGTGGGTTAAACCCCTGCCTTCGGCTCAGGTCATGATCCCAGGGTCCTGGGATCGAGCCCCGCATCGGGCTCTCTGCTCGGCGGGGAGTCTGCTTTCTCCTCCCTCTCTCTCTGCCTGCCTCTCTGCCTACTTGTGAGTTCTATCTGTCAAATAAAATAAATAAAATCTTTAAAAAAAAAAGAAATAGACACATATGTGGGCACCTGGGTGGCTCAGTCAGTTAAGCGTCTGCCTTCGGCTCCGGTCCTGATCCCAGGGTCCTGGGATCAAGCCCCATGTCGGGCTCCTGCTCAGCAGGGGCTCTGCTTCTCCCTCTCCCTCTGCCTCTCTCCCCAGCTTGTGCTGGCTCACTCTCTCTCTCTCTCTCTCAAATAAATAAATAAAATCTTTTTTAAAAAAAGAAAAGAAATAGATACATATAGAGGGAAGTCAGTGTGAAGATACACGGGGAGAAGGGCATGCGACTGGAGTGATGCATTTACAAGCTAAAGAAACATCAAAGATTGCCAGCAAACAAGCTAGAAGACACAAGGAAGGATGCTCCCTCACATCTGCCAGAGAGCCTGACCCTGCTAACACTGATTTCAGACTTGAGGCCCCAGAAGCATGAGACAATGACTTTCTGCTGCTTTGAGCCACCCAGGTTTTAGTATTTTGTTACGGCAGCCCAAGGAACTGAACACAGAGCCTCCATGAAAGTATTTCCATTCTCAGCTGCTGAGTACCCTGAGCCACCTCAAGTGTGTGCTGGTGGCGTCCCCGGTGGGCCTGAGATCCTTCAGTGCGTTGACCTCTGTGATTATTACTCTTTTCCCAATGAAAAGTGGTTACTTTTTCAAAACAAAACAAAACAAAAAAAACCCCACCAAGTGGAAAGCAATTAGCTGGACCCAATTCTGTCATGTCCTATTAACAGGGTATGAAGTTCCCAAACCAGAGGTCATCTTCAAGTTGGAACAAGGAGAGGAGCCATGGATTTTGGAGAGAAAAACCCCACATCAGAGCCATACGGGTGAGTGAGTGTGACCCAGGCAGATGGGGGACATGGAAATGCTTTTCCTCAGAAGCCTATGCCTTTAAAATGCTATTTCTTGCTGCCTTCTTGAAGGATCTCAACTTTGGAAACTGCTTGAGAAGAGATAACATTGACCTTTTAGGTACCAGACTGTTCTCTCCCTTTATTTCCCTTAGTGTGAGCAGCTGTCTTTTTTGCCTGGCTTTCCTCCAAGGAGAATTGCTGCATTTCCTACAGGCAGAATCATATGCCAGGCTTCCTCCCTACAGATCTTGCTTCTTTGAATGTTTTCTCCTTCCAATCACATTTTTATCCTTCATTCCTTAAGTCCCACCCACCAGGATCTGAGATTCTTAACAATACATATGGTCAGGTTTTAATGGATTTACCCTCTTTGAAAACCACTTGGTTGCCACACTCCTGTTCTTCTGAGGACCTTTTCACTTTCATCCTCCTCATTTTCTTCTTCTGAACTCTAAGATACCAATAAACACATCGACAACCAGCCTCCCCTCCTCTTCTCTTTCCAGATTCCTCACTCCTTTCCCGTCTCCCCTGCTGCCATGCCTCTCTCCCATCTTCTGACCTTGGGATCACTGCCACTTAGCATTTTTGTCTTAAATCAATCAACTGTATTAAGGTATAATTTACATACAATAAAATGTCTCCATTTGAAGTGCCCAGTTTGATGAAGGTCCACGCTGCTGTTAACCACCACCCCAGTCATGATATGGAGAACATTCTGTTTTGTGAAAATGAGCCTCCATGCCCCTTGTAGTCAGTAGGCCCCCAGGCAAACCATTGACAGGCTTTCTGTCACTGTAGATTAAATCTGTCTTTATTAGGGTTTCATGTGAGTGGAATCCTACTGTCTATACCCTTTTAGGTCTGGCTCCATTTGTTCAGCATCATGATTCTGCAATTCATCCATGTTACTGAGTATATTGCTGGTTTATTGCTTTGAAATGCTAAAGACTATTCCATGATATGAACAAACTGTAATTTGTTTATCCATATACCTGTTAATGACAGGTGGTTGTTATTTGGTTATTATGAGTACAGTGTAGCGAACATTCTGGCATGTCGTTGTGTGACCATATGTTTACATTTCTCTTGGGTGAACACCTAGGAGTGGAGTTGGTGGGTCATATAATTGTATAAGTAAGTGTATGCGTGCCTTTATAAGAAATTGCCAAGCTATCTTCCAAAGTGGCTGTGTGAGTCTACCCTTCCAGCAGCAGTACACGAGAATTTCTGTTGTTCCGCATCCTTGCCAACACCTGTTACCATCAATCACTTTAATTTTTGCTGTCATAGTGGATGTAATGGTATCTCATTATGATTTTAAGTTGTATTCTTCTGACAAGTAATGATAAGTATCATTTTATGTGCTTATTGACCATTTGTACATTTTTGTTTCAGGTGTCTATTCGGATATCTTTCCTGTTTTTTAATTGGGTTGCTTGCTTGCTTAATGAGTTTTCAGAGTTGTCGATATTTGCTAGATGTAACTCCTACACCAGATATATACATCGCCAGTATTTTGTTCCAATTCGTGGCTTTCACTTTTCTCTTCTTACTGGTGCCTATCAGAGGAGCAAATGTTTTGATTTTGATGGAGTCTAATTTATCGTCTTTTAAAATTTTCTAGTGCTTTCTGTGATCTGTTTAAGAAATCGTAGCCTGCTACAAAGATTTTTTCCTATTTCGTTCCCTAAGTTATAGCACTTTTGCTTTCTCAGTTTAGACCTACAATTCACTTTGTATGTTTGATGTAAGGACCGATGTTCATTTTTGTTTTTGTTTTTAAAGATTTTATTTATTTGTTTGACACACAGAGAGAGATCACAAGTAGGCAGAGAGGCAGGCAGAGAGAGAGAGAGAGAGAAGGACACAAGCTCCCTGCTGAGCAGAGAGCCGGATGCAGGACTCCATCCCAGGACCCTGAGATCATGACCTGAGCCAAAGGCAGAGGCTTAACCCACTGAGCCACCCAGGTGCCCACAATGTTTGTTTTTATCAGTACAATACCCACTTGTTCCAGAAGCATTTGCTGAAGAGGCTTTTTTTTTTCCTATTGCATTTCCTAGTCGTGTTTATCAAAATCAATTGACTTTTTATATGTGAGCCTATTTCTGGACTCTTTATTCAGCTCAGTTGATCTATATATGTCTTTCTGTTTTATAATGGTAGGCTTTAATATCATTCAGGCAAGGTGAGACCAACAGATCCAGAGATGACTGCCATTAAAAAGATAGTTTATAATTCACAGTTCCCAAGAGGAAGAGACATGCCATACCATGCAGGGCCACATCAGGAAGCACCAGCATCAGTCAGGAGGCCAAAGTTTTAGGGGAAAGCATGGTTAAGAGCCTTAATTGTTATTTGCATGGGGAAGCATGGGTGAAACAGAGTAAGCAGGCTGGGGAGGCTTCGGATTGGCTAGTTTGAGTAATTTCAGTGGGGCTCCAGGGCTGTAGGGACTGCGTTTAGTAACTTGGTACTTGGCACTGAGGGATTAGAGCAGGAGGATAGTGGCTCAACCTGGGAAAGTGTAACAAAGGAGGAGAGTTGGTGGAAGTGGACTCTGGATTGGTTGGTTTGCATATAAAAGGTGTGCTTCCAGGGAATTCATTTGTTATCTCTAGGAATTAACTAGCACTGAGAGAGGCAGGTCTGTCCAGGAGGAGGAAGGCACCAGATGGCCCAAGCATCAACAATACAGAAAATAAGATAAAGAAGATGTGGGTGCCTGGGTGGCTCAGTTGGTTAAGCAACTGTCTTTGGCTAGGTCATGATCCTGGAGTCCTGGGATCCAGTCCCACATCAGGCTCCCAGCTCAGCAGGGAGTCTGCTTCTCCCCCTGATCTCTCTCTCTCCTCTGATGCTCTCTCTCTCTCATTCTTTCTCTCTCTCAAATAAGTAAAATCTTAAAAACAAAAACAACAACAAAAATATGTGATATACATACAATGGCATATTATTCAGCCATAAAAAAGAACAAAATCTTGCCATTGGCAACAACATGGATGGAGCCAGAGAGTATCATGCTAAGGGAAATAAGTCAGTCAGAGAAAGACAGAGATACCTCATGATTTCACTCGTATGTGGAATTTAAGAAACATAACAAATGAACAAAGGGAAAAAAAGAGAGACAAAACAAGAAATAGCCTTTTTTAAAAAAAGATTTTATTTACTTATTTGACACAGAGAGAGAGCGATCACAAGTAGGCAGAGAGGCAGGCAGAGAGAGAGGGGGAAGCAGGCTCCCCGCTGAGCAGAGAGCCCGATACGGGACTCAATCCCAGGACCCTGGGATCATGACCTGAGCCGAAGGCAGAGGCTTTAACCCACTGAGCCACCCAGGTGCCCCAAGAAATAGACTTTTAACTATAGAGAACAAACTGATGGTTGTGGGGGGTGGGGATGGGTGAAATAGGTGATGGGAATTAAGAGCATGCTTACCCTGATGAGCACTGGGTAATGTATAGAATTGTTAAATCACAATATTGTACACCTGAAACTAATATAACACTGTATGTTAATTATACTAGAATTAAAATTTAAAACTTTTTAAAAACACAGAAAATATAGTTAATATACTTTTTTTAAGACTTTATTTACTTATTTGACAGAGAGAGAGAGATCACAAATAGGCAGAGAGACAGGCAGAGAGAGAGGAGGGCAGGCTCCCTGCTGAGCAGAGAGCCAATGCAGGGCTTGATCCCAGGACCCTGGGATCATGATCCGAGCCGAAGGCAGAGGCTTTAACCCACTGAGCCACCCAGGCGCCCCAATACACTGTCTTTTTGGCAAACCCACATTTTCTTTATTACTGTAGCTTTTATAATGAGTCTTGAATCAGGTAGGATAAGTTCTCCAACTTTGCCTTTTTTTTAATTACTTTGGCTCTTCTAGATCATTTGCATTTCTATATAAATTTCATAAGTAGTTTGCGCTTTTATTTTTTAAAGCCTGCTGGGGTTTTGTTTGGAGTAGAGTTCACTCTATAGATCAATGTTAGGAGAATTGATATCTTCACAATATTGGGCCTTCTAATCCACGAGCATGGCATATTTTCTGTATTTATTTAGATGTTTGAATTCCTTCAGCAATGTTTTATAGTTTTCAGTGTAGAAGTTTTCTGTATCCTTCATTGAATTTATCCCTAAATAGTTGATGCACCTTGACAGTTTTGTAAATGACATTTTTTTCCCAATTTATTTCAGATTGTTCATTGTTAGTAAAAATTGCTCATGATTTATTTTTGTACATTGACTTTGTATCCTGAGGCATTCCTACATCCACCTACTAGTTTTCTTGTAGGTTCTTTGAGGTTTTTCATTTAAGTAGTCATTATCACTTTAGAGACACTCTTTCGTCTCCAATTTCATGCTTTTTGTTTCTTTTCCTTTCCTTATTGCACTAACACCTTCAGTTTGATGTTAAATAGAAGTGTTGAGTGTGGGCATGCCTCCTGTGTTCCCATTATCAGGGATAAAAAATGCGTACCATTATGTCTGATGTTTTTTGAAGCTGCCCTTTATCAGGTTATAGAAGTTCTTTTTTAATCTTAGCTTGTTGAAGAGTTTTTTTTTTTAATCATGGTTAGATGTTGAACTTTGTCAACTCCTTTTTCATCTAATTAGAGTAATCATATGAGTTGTTGCTTTTATTTCGTTAATATGTGAGTTTATTTGTTGATTTTTCTTAAAGATTTTATTTATTTATTTATTTCACACACACACACACACAGAGCACAAGCAGGCAGAGAGGCAGACAGAGAGAGAGGAGGAAGCAGGCTTCCTGCTGAGCAGAGAGCCCGATGCGGGGCTTGATCCCAGGACTCTGAGATCATGACCTGAGCCGAAGGCAGAGGCCCAACCCACTGAGCCACCCAGGCTTCCCTGTTGATTTTACAAATGTTAAGTTAACTTTGTATTTCTGAGATAAAATATTAGTTGATTATGATATATAACCCTTACTATATATTATTG